GCGAACGTAGAGTACTAATCTTTGACAACTGGCATCAGGAAGTATTGAGGTTTAGTCATGAAGAATTACACGATCGAGCAACGCATAGAAATTGTGAAAATTCACTATAAAAATGGTGAAAATTTTGCAGAGACGGTTCGAAAAGTCCTCACGTCTTTTGGTTATCATAACGCACCATCTCGCAACACTATGGTGCATTTAACAAAAAAATTTGAGGTTAGTGGTTCAATTTTGACCGCGAAAAGCAGTGGCCGTCTCGTACCGGTCGATCGAATGAAAACATAGCCGCAGTAAGTGCGAGTGTTGACGAAAGTCCTTCCATCTTGATTCGCCATCGTGCTCAGCAATTGGACATTTCAAGATGCTCTGTGCAGCGAATTTTGACGAAAGATCTGTATTTGCATGCTTACAAGATCCAATTGACACAAGAACTGCAACCAGCAGACCATGAGCAGCGCCGTACATTCGCCAATTGGATATTGGAGCATCAACAAATCGATGGTGATTTTTCGAAGAAAATCATCTTTAGCGATGAGGCGCATTTTCAACTTAATGGCTACGTGAATAAACAAAACTGTCGAATTTAGGGGATCGAAAATCCAAAAGTGATCCAACAGCTTCCCATGCATCCACCACGAGTCACTGTTTGATGCGAATTTTGGGTTGGAGGAGTGATTAGACTGAACTTTTTTGAGAATGCTGCGGGAAATGCGGTTACCGTCAATGGTGTTCCTTATCGTGACATGATAACCAACTTTTTATGGAAAGAATTGAACGGCATGGACTTGGAAGACATATTCTTTCAACAAGATGGCGTATCCTGCCATACTGCGGACGAAACAATGCAGTTATTGCAGACGAAGTTTCATGGTCGTGTCATTTCGCGCCGCGGCGATGTGAATTGGCCATCAAGATCGTGCGATTTAACGCCATTGGACTTCTTTCTTTGGGGTTTTCTGAAAGGAAAAGTGTATGCCAATGATCCACAAACCATTCCGGAGTTCAAGGAAAAAATGACACGCACCATTAATGAAATTAGTCCGCAATTATGTCAAAATGTCATTAAAAATTTTGTCAAAAGAATGAACGTTTGCAAACAGGATCGAGGCGGCCATTTATCGGATGTTATGTTTCACACATAACCTTCATATTTGTACCTTATATTATTATAATAAAATGTTATTATTATTATATTATGTTATTATTATAACAATAAAGTAAAAACATTCGTACTTTTCAAATAAATAATATGTTTTATTAATAAATTAAAATGTCAGGTCACTTTAAGACACCCTTTATTACACTTATCTTCTAAATCTGTTTTCGATAACAATGATTTTTTTGTTACAAATTTTGTTATTTTTCGAGAGACGATATCATATGAAGTTTTGTATCTTTTTACCCTTGTTTCGGAAGTTTTGAATCCTACCATATTTTCCTCTTCTTGTGCTCGAGAAGCCCATCGAGCAATGTCAATGTCATGAATAATTATTCTATTTTCAAGCGCTTCATTAAAACGGTTTATTGTATATTCAGAAATTCTTTTTAATTTTTCATCTCTGTTGCCACCTGCACTGATTTGGTCCTCCCATCGCATTGTGGGCTGAGATACTCCAAAAAGTGACCAAAAACCAAGGTCAAAATATCGATAAAACATTAAAATTTTCGTAAAATAGGCAGTTGAAATTAACTATTTCCAGAATTGCATATTGATTGAATAATTAGTTTGTCCTTAATAAAAGTAGAAAGTTTAAAATTGTATAGAAATGATATCCTTCGGTTATCCGTATAATATTTTTTTTATCTAAAATTATCTTACATCCTGAAGTCTATATATGATTTTGTTCATCTATATAAATGAGAAAACCAAGATTATAAACAGTGAAGGCTGTAATATGACTTTTAAGATATAAAAATCAAATAAATAATGTTGGAATGTATCGATTTTTAGATGTAAGTCCATCTATTTATCGCATGTTCCACAAAGTTCCACGGCTTTTTCGAAAAATGAATATATCATTGTATTCTACAGAATGTCCGCTTGAAAAAGAACTTGCGCATTTTTGCGCCTTTTTGTTTAAATTTCGCGAGACACCGCCCGCAAGCGGCTGGCGCCGGTCGGGCGGTGAAACCGAAAGGGTCGCCAGCGACGTCGATCGGCCTAACCGCCACTCCTTCACCCAGTCGGTCGTCGTAGCGCGGCGCATCGCCGCATAAGGTCTACTCGGGGAAGAAATCTCGCCTGGGGATAAAAGCAAGCGCGTCGCGCGTCTCGAGATCTTTTTGCACGGTCCATCGCCAATTGTGGCACTTTCTCTCTCTTATAGCTCGCTACATTTTGTACGCTGTTTCACATAGAAACTATCGACGGCTCAAGTCCGTCCGAATAGATTGCTGTCAGCGCGGTGATCCCCGTGCTCTGTCGCCACTCTTATCAAACATGGCAACTTTTACAAAAAAAGATATTTTAGATTTAATTCCAGAAAAGACAAATATTGATGTAGCTGTCATTTACATTTTAAACAAGTTAAGTACTTTTAATGTAAATATAACGGGAGACAATCTCTTGAAGTTAGAGCAAAGTATAGCGACTCTTCAAACTAAACGGAATACAAAATTTAATAATGCTCAAAGGAAGAAGACCAGATTTGAAAAAAATAATTCTGCATGGCTTGATTCGATATTCAACATTCACACTGATACTTTAATAAAAGAGCCAGTGCCTTCTGTTTCACATTCTGGTCCAGGGTGCCCATCTCTTGATTTCGTAAACAAATCTTCTAAATCCAAAAAACGAGAAATTGCACAAATAAGTGCTGAATGTAATTATGATTCTGCTAAAATGTTATTGATGCTGCAAAGCATTCAGGACAAAAAGATTTACAAGCAGTCTTAGATGAACTTTCAAAAAGTCCAGAACGTCCGCACAAAGTTAAGAAAATTTTGGATACTGCTTCTTCTTTAATAATAATTAAGAAGACTCCCGAAGAAGCTTTGGCATTTCTTTTAAATAATTCTCTGTCAAAAAATGTATATACGAATATGCGTCTAGAAAGTAAGTTGTCTGGTGCAGACATATGGCCAACCTATGATGATATTAGAAGTAAAATCACAATGTAGGCCATCAAAAGATAAAGTATCTATTAGTGAAAATATTGCTGAAGTTACTCTTCAATCGCTACTAGATCACACTGCTCGACGAATCGTGAGCATGCAAGAAGATGTAATACTTCAAATTATGCGTAAAAACGATAATATTGTCATGGAAACCATATTAGCTTGTTCCTGGGGTTTCGATGGAAGCACGGGTCATTCTTGTTATAAACAAGCCTATAAAGATAGGCAAGATTTCAATGATGAAAATTTATTTGTTACATCTGTTATCCCACTTCGTTTGAATACATCCTCTAACATGATAGTATGGAATAATCGTATGACACAGTCTGCAAGGGTTTGCCGTCCAAAAAAACTAGAATTTATAAAAGAATCGACCGATATTATTTTAAAACAAAAGCAGTTAATGGATGATGAGATAAAAAATTTACGTGTTTGTACGATTGACTTAGCAGATTGCCAAATACAAGTACGTTTCTCTTTACATATGACTTTAATAGATGGTAAAGTTTTAAATACAATAACAGGTACTCGTTCGATGCAGACGTGTCCAATTTGTCACGCAACTCCTAAGGAATTTAACAATTTGTCTAATATAACAAGAGTTTTTATACCAGAACCAAAATCACTTCAGTATGGAATACAACCGTTACATGCTTGAATAAAGATATTTGAATGTAGCTTACATATTTCATATCGAGAAGATATTAAAAAATGGCAGATCAGAGGTACGAAGGACAAGGTTGAATGTGAGGCTCGAAAAAAAGCAATTCAAAAAATTCTATGGGATAAACTAGGATTAAAAGTAGATAAACCGAAACCATGTGGTTGCGGTACAAGCAACGATGGTAATACTGCACGTAGGGCTTTCGAAAATCTAGAAATATTCGCTGATTGTCTTCAATTAGATCGGCAATTACTTGCAAATTCTAGGACAATTTTGATAACATTGTCTTCTCAATATCCAATAAATATCAGTCGATTTAAAGAGTTATGTGATCGTACAGCCAAGCTCTATGTATCTTGTTATCCATGGTATCCAATGCCTTCATCACTGCATAAAATTTTAATTCACGGAGCCGATATTATCAGTTTTAGTATATTGCCAGTAGGTATGCTTGGTGAAGAAGCATCAGAGGCCAGAAATAAAGATTACAAAAGATACAGGCAATTTCATAGTAGGAAATATTGTCGTAAAGCTAATTTGGAAGACATATTTTTTCGAGCAATGGATACATCAGATCCTGTAATCTCAACTATTAATATAATAAGGTTAGTTGGAAGTAAAAAAAAATTATTTTTCCCTCCAGAAGTCATCGAACTTTTTGACATTCCTAAGGAAAATATGGAGGAAATAAGCGATGATGATGATTGCGAAAATAAATCTAATAACACAGATTTTTCAAATTCGATGTCAAACTTACGTGATTTGGATATAGAATTATCTAATGAAGATGATTAATTATTTAGACATGTTCGTGAGAAACGGGGATACTCACGATAAAAAAAGCATCCCGATTCGTGAGAGGCGAGGGGACTCACGATAAACAAGCACCCCGATTCGTGAGAGGCGAGGGGACTCACGATAAACAAGCACCCCCATTCGTGAGAGGCGAGGGGACTCACGATAAACAAGTACCTCGAATTACCGATAGGTAATATGGGATCTAAAATCGTACTGTAACCTCCACGTGGTAGATTCTGCAAACTACATTTTTGTAGGCTATCTACAGACATAAATTGTTTTACCAAAATAATAGATATTTTTTTTGCTATAAATATTAAACTGCTTAATATTAACAGAATATAAAGTAAATTCTTAATACATGTAACTATGTTTAGATATAAATAGAATGCAAATTTTATATTTGTCTGTGTGTGTTTGTGTGTGCGCATGCACGTATATTTACGTGTATATAAGTTTTACATATTACATACGTACGTACGAAAGGATATATAAACGACCTATAAAGACTGCATATGCATTTTTCATGAAATTCCGATAAAATTTTGGCGAATACGCTATTTTGAATCCTCCATTTTGAATTTTGACGTTATTTTTGAAATCAGGGACCTAAAAAACCCCTTATAACAAATTCCATGTCCATACGACGAGTAATCTTCAAGTTACCGAATTTTGGCACGAAATGGTGGGTCGCCAGCTCACTGTGCACTGGCAAAAACTGAGAATTTCGATCTTACATATGTATCTCAGAGGTCTTAAAAGCCCGTATAAATTTTGTCCGATCCAAAAATCTTCGATATTTTACAGGTATTATACATTTACAGGTTTTATACATTTGACAAATTTGTGCATCCGCCATTTTGAATAGAGGGTCTAATTTAAAAATCGGGCTCGATACAATTGTAGAGCAATTCATCGCGAGTAAATTTAAAAAAAAGCATGGAAATCGGTTAAGAATTAACCGTTAACGCCGTTTAGCGATTTTTGTCCACGAAAATACCCATTTGACCCACTGTGCATCGTCGTAATTGTCGCATCGATGTTACTTTCTGTATCTTCTTTTAACTCCTTCAAGCGATCTTGGTCCTGTTTTATTGCTCTTCCAGTATTCCACAGCTTGCTTTTTATAATCATTTGATATTCCTGATTCAACGGAGCTACAAATAACTTCTTCCGGGAGATACTCTCTTCTTTCATTTTCCTCTAATAAATCAATATTTTTCGCTTCTGGAACTTCATATGTATTGTAAAAATCTAAAGTTTCTACTTCTTCTATTTCAAATTCCTCTCCATTTTCTATTTCTTTTAACAAATATTCAATCTTCTCCTTCACTTCTACTTCTTTTGGAGTTATCGGACCTTGTGGAAAGTTAAGAGCAATGAAAGTTGTATAGAGTAACATTATAACATTCAAGGGATTAAATTGCATCATTCTGAAAAATATTAAAATGAAATATTTTTCTCGAACCATGATATATAAAATAATATATAAAATAAAACACACTTTATAATTAATGCAGTGATTTTCTTATGTTAATCCTGATGCCGCTTCTTCTTTCTGTCAAATATATTGTTACGTCCTGTAGATTTAATTAGTAAAAATTCTTTCCTCTCGCAGATTTATATTCTCCTAATATAACTATAATAGGAATATATACATATATAAATATAAATTAGGAAACAGGCCCATCTGGCGAACAGCCGTCGCGCCAAATGAAAGGCGATTCGGGAAAATTCCATATGAAACAGTGCCCTGTTGTAAAAATCTACGTCTTCGTTTAAAGTTTATATCTGGATAGTGTTCGCCAAGTGTGTCCGTCGTCCTAGCCATAAAAATTTGAAACTCCGCGCTAACAAACCTTCAGTAAAACAAAGCAACACAAAGCATTCTTGCTCTAAAACTTGAAACTTATATCTTCCCAATCCAAAACCATATGTGCCCTATCAGTCAACCAACAAAGCTTACTTCACTGATAGTCGTAAAATCTGATCTCAGCCTTTGATTTACGGCATTTTGATTTTTCCAGCCGGCCACTTGTATACATTTCTCTATCTCAAGAATCCACCACCTCCACGCTTGTCGCGCCTAATTCATTCAGCCAATCATATATCCACCTAAAACTATGAGACACCCACGCTCCACCCTTCAGCCCTTCCATATTCATATCTCCAAAAACTAACTGTCTCCTCCCACGATGTCTTTTAACTTTGCTAATGGCTGAGACTTTTTCCCACTAAGACCAATTCACCCCTTCCTCAAAGGCTATCTCTCTACCCATCCTGATAGTTTCTGCCTCCGATTATCACTATAAAAACCGCGGTAATCCGCCTCTGCGACACACTACTTCTACTTCTTCCATTACTTCTATTCTGAGAGACAGGAAAAAGAGCAGATTCACATAGATTCTAGATTCAAAAGTCAGACCTGTAAAAACGCGTCCTTAGACTCAAATTCGTCTTCGGTTTTGTTTCGGCACTACACATACTCTTACGTCCTCTGTCTTATTTTTTTTTTGGGGACAAAAATAAAAAGTTAGAATCAGTGCTATTGTGCCATAATTGGACAATTGGAAGGGAGTGGACGAGCACAACTTAACCTACCGAGCAGGAGCTACCAAACAACAATTTTATTTTTGCTCACCTTCAGGATAATAGGAGTCAGCAGTAAGTTCTGTTTTTTTTTTGCTTCTACCTTTTCTACCACCATCTTATTAATTCCCCATATTATTGAAATCCGTTTTTAGTGGGTCATTATTACAACATAGGAGTAACCCTCCACCACGTTTTCCGAACGTTTGAGGCAGTTTTTGATATTAGCGATCCAGACCAACTTACGTCTCAGATCCACTACCTTCGAGCCATAGTTAATATAGCGTTAGGAACTGATTATCACCCGGATCCTACACTCCTATCCCCTTACCTTCTTCCTCGTTTTTCCCCTGGTACTCCGCCTTCTTCTCCTACACACGCGTCCCCGCCTTCAACCCCTTCGATATCTTATTCACCAGTTTCCTTCTCCGAACTATCCACTCCCCTAAATTCACCCGACCACTCACGCCCTCCCTCACCCGACTAACTCTTTACTCATATTCCTACCTATTATTTTTTTTTTATTATTCCTCCTTTCTTTCACTTCTCATACATACACACATACACATACACAGACATTCTTCAACTGTATTAAACCGCGCCGTAATTCATTTTGTTATAATAGTCATTTTAATAAATCTGTTTATATTTCATTCTTTTTCCAATTGATTTCAAAATCACATATACCCTTCCAGCAGTCAACTCATGGTCCTATCCCCGGTAAAGGGATTCGCGTCCCTGACCGAAAAACGGACCGCTCGTCGTACGTCGGTGCCCGAGTAAAGGGACCCGTCGGGTCCCTGACCCGTTCACTGATACGCGTGTACGAACGAGGTTCGCCTTACTCGCGAACGAAAGGGTTGCGTTCCTCCTCTAGGACGTAACATACCAAAATTTTGGGGGCTCGTCCGGGATGATAAGAGTGACTGTTGAAAAGGGGTATGAATACGCGGTCTAAATCTGATAAAGACGAGGTGAAAAAAACTTTCCGCGGAGCTGTCGAGAATACACCATTTCGTCGTCCTCGCGAGTTAGAATCATCGGAACAACCTCAACATACATCTACACCATTCGTGCCACACAACCAACAAACTACCACTAATACCACTGAAACATTTCCTGCTCTTACATCTGACGTCGATACTTCAACTATCCGGAAAATTTTGAGTGATAGCCCACTTTCTCTCAGCGCATTTGGTATAACTCATTCACCTCAAAGAATTAATAAACCCCCGAGTCCTATCGCAGAAGTATCTGTCGAAGAAACTAGTTTTTGCGCTGAATCTACGCGGTATAAATCTTTTGATAATTCCTTATATTCTTTCCGTCTGGTTGTCACAGATAGTGAAATTGATCCCAGCAGTAAACTTACGGTAAAAGATCTTACGGAACAAAGCAATCATAGAGAACAATCTAATTTAGAACTTATTACAACCACAGAAACCATGAACGATAACGTAGTAACAAATAACTCTTCCGCTACTTTACGATATGCCGTAGAGGCTGTTCCTTTCTTTGATGGTCAAAATCTACCTGTAGAATATTTTATAGAAGGATGCGAATTAGCAAAGTCCATGTTACCGCCCAAAAACGAAAAATATTTGACTAAAATAATTCAAACTAGATTAACTGGCGACGCTCGTCATTCTGTACAAGACCAGGATTTCTCGCGGATTAGCCAGTTAACAAATTTTTTGAAACATGTATACGGCTCTTCTAAAAGCTTAATGCAATTACAAGTTGAATTAGGACGAAATTACCAACGGGCCGATGAAACGGTACTCACATATGCAAACAGAACGAAAGCAATAGGCAGACGTATATTAGAGGCACACCGAACCACGAATAACGGAGCAATAGATCGCTCTTATAAAACATCATTAGAAAATGAATTGGTTCACAGTTTCATCAGAGGGCTGAAGCCTGAAATAAAGCAAAGAATTGCCAGAAATTTAGATGTAACCGCAACTGTAGAAGAAGCTTTAAGAATTGAAAAAGAATTACGGGATATTTTCGAAATACGTGGGTTGCAAGGTTTTCAAGTCGATACAGATTTATGTCAAATATGTAAAAAATCCGGTCACACAGCAGATAAATGTAACCTAATATTACAAAATACAACAAGATCCTTGGGGACCGAAATCTTAGTCTGCCAAATTTGCAAAAAACGGGGCCATAGTGCAGATAAATGTAGATTCCGAGAAACTATCGGACAAAAGCCGGTAAAAATTGTACAAAGCGATTTCGTCTCATGCCAAATATGCTCTAAACCCGGTCATACTGCTCAAAATTGCCGTTCACTTAATAATCAGCAGGTTATATGCCAAAATTGCCAGAGACCTGGTCACGTCTCTAGAGATTATAGAGGTAATTCCTCTAATTTTACTAATATTATTTGTCAAATGTGCAATAAACCAGGTCATAACGCGAAGAATTGTTATTCAAATCCTAATCGGAATAATATTCCTAATAACGAAGTATGTCAATGGTGCGGGCGACGTGGACATCAAGCATCTCAATGTAGAGAAAGACAAGTTATTAATAGAAATTCTCCGAGAAATAACATCCAAATTATTTGTCAAATCTGCAATAGAACGGGACATAGTGCTCGTAATTGTCGCGAAAATCGGTCATCGGAAAATACTTCCAATTCTACAACACAAGATTTAGCAAATCAATGTAGATATTGCAAGGAAACGGGGCACACAATAGAAAATTGCATTTTGAGAATCGAAAATAATCGTAAGAAACAGGGAAACTTTCAAGGGTCTCCGACGGCGGGCGCGAACCGGGGAGCCGACGGATCGGGGCGCCCAGTGATGACTGCACTAACAGAAAACACAATAATCGAGCTCCAATAATTAGACCGGTAGAAATTAATTTGAATAAAGAAAGCTGCGTGCCTACTGTTCAGTTAAGTTTAAATGGAAATAGTTATTTTGAAACTTTCATGTTAGATACAGGATCGGGACCCAACTTTATTAAGGAAGCTCGCATTTCAGGAACTCCAGACTTAGATTCAACGCATATATTAAAATTAAATGGAATTAATAATTCACCCGTGTACACTATCGGAAAAATTACTAAGATAATTTTGGGAATTCCTGTTGACTTTCATGTAATTTCCGATGATTTTCCTATTCAATCTTGTGGGATATTAGGCAACGATTTTTTTCAACAAACTAAAGCTAAAATTGATTATTCAAAAGGTCACTTAGAAGTCTTAACCACTAAAATTCCTTTTTATTCACAAGAATCTGTAATAATTCCTGCGCACTCTAAAGCATTGTTTTTCGTGCGCATCGGAAATCCGCATATTAAAGAGGGATATTTACCCAAGATAACTATAGGAAAAGGTGTAGAAGTAGAATCAACCGGCTTAATAAAGAATATTGACGGTAAGGCTTACACTAACGTAATTAATTCTTTGGATACTGAGATAGAAATATTAATACCAACTATCAATATACGACCCGCGATTTTAAAGGATAACGAGAAGGATAACGATATTAAAGATGGAAATATTGAGAATAATAGAGATAACGAAAAACCTAAAGATAAAGGGGAATATATTCTTGACCGCGAAGAAAGAGAACCACGCAATGCGGCATCATGCGACGGCCAAGGTACATTTAATTATATACATATTAACTCACCGGAGGAAAATCTCGCAACCCCTGTCGAATCAAGAAATGTTGAAAACAAAAATTTTGAAAAGGGGAATCAATCTCAACTTCCCCGCCTAGTGACGAAAATTCAGAATAAGAAGCAAGGAGCGACCTTCCATGCTCCTATTAAACAAAAAGAAAAAATTAATCAACAAAAAAGTTCGAATCGACTCTTCTTGTAGGATTAGGCAAAGACTTAGATAAGATTTCAAGGAAAAATTCCCAATTCTCCTATCCAAACCACGATCCTCCCTACCAAGGGGACAATTTCCAGATTCCTCGTCCAAGGGAGAAAG